CAGATAAGCTTGTGAAGCCACTCTCCATCATTTACCAACAGTCCTGGTTCACTGGTGAGGTTCCAGATGACTGGAAGCTGGCCAGTGTGACACCCATTCACAAAAAGAGTGGGAAGCAAGACCCTGGTAATTTTAGGCCAGTCAGCCTGACCTTTGTACCCAGTAAGATTATGGAACAGTTTATACTGAGTGTCATCACACAGCACTTACAGGATGGACAGGGTATCAGACCCATGGGTTTATAAAAGGTAGGTCATGTTTGACCAACCTGGTCTCCTTCTATGGCCAAATGACCTGCCTGGTAGATGCAGAAAAGGCTGTGGATGTTGATCATTTGGGCTTCAGCAAGGCCTTTGGCACTGTCTCCCACAGCACACTCCTGGGGAAGCTGCAGCCCACGGCTGGGACAGGAGCACTCAGTGCTGGGTTCAGAACTGGCTGCATGGCCGGGCCAGAGAGTGCTGGTGAGCAGTGCTGCATCCAGCTGGGGCCAGGCACCAGTGGTGTCCCTCAGGCTCTGTGCTGGGACCAGCTCTGTTCAATGGCTTTATTGATGACATGGATGAGGGGATTGAATCATTAGTAAATTTGCAGATGACACTAAGCTGTCAATCTGTTGGAGGGTAGGAGGGTTCTGCTGGGAGACGTGGAATGGTTGGATGGATGGACAGAGTCTAATAAAATTAAGTTTAACAAGTCCAAGTGCCAAGTCCTGCATTCTGGCCACAATCACATCCTGCAGGCTGGGGATGGTGTGGCTGGACATTGCCCAGGCAGAAAGGGACCTGGGGGTGCTGGTCAGCAGCCGACTGCACATGAGCCAGCAGTGTGCCCTGGTGGCCCAGAAGGCCAAGGGCATCCTGGCCTGTGTTAGGAATTGTGTGGCCAGCAGGAGCAGGGAGGTCATTCTTCCCCTGAACTCAGCACTGGTGAGGCCACACCTTGAGTGCTGCGTCCAGTTCTGGCCCCTCAGTTTGGGAAGGACGTTGAGACCCTTGAGCACGTCCAGAGGAGGCAACAAGGCTGGTGAGGGGCTTGGAACACAAACCCTGTGAGGAATGGCTGAGGGAGCTGGGGTTGTTTAGCCTGGAGAAGAGGAGACTCAGAGGTGACCTTATCACTCTCTACACTCCCTGAAAGGTGGCTGTGGTCAGGGGGAGGTTGGTCTCTTTCTCCAAGCAGCAATTGACAGAACCAGAGGACACAGTCCTAAGCTGCACCAAGGGAAATATAGGTTGGATATAGGGAAAAAGTTTTTTACAGAAAGGGTGATAAAATTCTGGAATGGTCTGCCTGGAGAGGTGGTGGAGCCACCATCTCTGGTGTTTTAAACATCTCTATGTTTAAAAGCAGACTGGATGTGCCACTCAGTGCCATGGTTTAGTTGAGATGTTAGGGCATGGACTGGATTCTATGATATTTAAGGTCTATTCCAACCTAATGATTCTGTGTTTCTGTGATTCTGAGATAGTGAAAGTAGTGATAAAGTGTATGCTTTTCAGTACTCGTAGTTACATTTTTCTTTTAAAAATACCACTCTTAAATCACCAATGAATTATTTCACACTCGTGTCTGCTTTATTCATCTTGCCATCTTTAGTCACAGGCAAGAGAACAATAGATAATTACTAGTGAAAGCTGTTCTTATATACTGATAGTGGCACAGAAAAACTCTCACTGGGTGCAGGCAAATACAGTCTACTAGGGAAAAGATCAACCCTTGGAACTCGGAGCTACATGGATAAGAAAAAGATGAGGATAGAAAATGGAAACTGCATGGATAGAAAAATACTATGATGTGAGGGCTCATCAAAGGTATATTAGAAAATAACTGTGACAATAAAAATACCATAATTGTATCTCTGGGGAGGGCTAGTATTATCACCACCATACTTTGCCACAATATTTTTTTTCCAAATAATTTACAGAAACAAGGGAGAAATGGCTCTTACTACAGAGAAATTAAACACAGGCAAAAAAGCTAAAGCAAGAACACACTTGGCAAAACATTTCAAAATTGACTTCTTGACATTTAGTGTTAAATTTTGGATGACTCAAGAGGGTTGAGATTTGTCTTCTGAAAACAACATAGAATATGTAACCTCTCTCACTTCAAGAGCTGAAGACTGGGATCTTAACATTGAACAAAATATTTGGAAAGAGCTCTGTCTCAGAAATTAGTATCTTACCAATTAACTTATCTGGTCCTCTGCTACCAGTGAAGTCCAATAGAAAACATTGTTTGATCTCTCAGGAAGATAAAGGACTCTAAATTGTTAGGAGTATTGGGAATATAAGGTTTATGATCACCGAGCAAACAAGGGTAGGAGGCACATAAGGACACATCTCTGAAGACGACCTCTTGATCTGAGAGAAATCAATAGGCAAAAGGGACAGAAGATGTAGTTCAATTAACTTATTCATCATGTTCTCTTCCAGAAGGTCAAATCCACATCAACCTGAAATCAGATTTTCTTTCTAAAAGAATTGATACTTATTTTCATCAGTTTCTACTTTCAAATAATATATATACTACACTACAAATCAAGTTTCTTATTGTGCACTTACTGTCTACTTTCAGCAGCAATTCTCTGCATCATGTAGCTCTCACAGAAAGTGATATGGTATAATTCAGTTATAGAAAGTGATATGGTATAACTCAATTATACCATAACTAAAGTTTATATTAGATAAATTAGTACAATTAAAAAAAACAAAAACAAAAACAAAAACAAAATTTCCACCAAAAGGAGAGTGCACATTTATTTTTTCTTTATCTAACTGAAAAATACCCTTCTAAGTCTGAGTAAATTCTTGATATTAGCTTACAGAATAAAAATAAAAATAACATTTTCTGTCATTTTCAAGCTGGTCAAAATTTGTTGTTAGCAAACTGCAAGCTGTTTAATTTTTCAGGAATTGTTTCTGTAAGCTGGTACTGTTTCTATAAGCATTTATATGTGAGATCTGCATGGTGAAGAAAAGAATAACATTTAGGCATGCAAAGGCACAGGTACACTTTTCTCTCATAATTTAAAAAATCATTTTTATTAATTTGAAAAACCTTCAAAATTACCCCAGTTTTAGTCAGAGTAAACCTGCAGTTGCTAAGATTACAAATTACAGTAATTATGCATCAAAATTTTCCACAAAAAAATGTGTTATTCCATGGGAATTAAAAAAATAATAAACTACAACTAGATTGTTTAAAGTACAGGTAACAAATATAGACATTTTGCACTCTTTCTGTATTAATTATAAAGTGAAGCTAGATTTACTATAATTGTATTTAAATGTCTCAATTGAAAACTTGCTTTCCAGTTTGATTTACGATGATCAAGGGGACAAGTACTAGGAATCTTGCAAATATATACTGGATATTTCTGAACTATTTGCAATTCTTACTCTTTCAGTAAATGTCACAGGAAGTAATTATTTAATTACTTAAGAAGAGAATTTTTTCACTATCAATCACATTTTTTTAATGCAGTATCAGTAAACATTTTTATTTACTTTGTTGCAATTCCATATCACTAAATTAAATTATCATTTCCTGTAAAAAATTGTTTCCCTTTACTTTGCCACTAATGAATTCTTATCCCCTACTTCAGTGGCTAGAATTTTTTCCTCTCTATCTAGATTACTTGTTCCCAGACTGTGATTTGTGAGCCATTAATGATCTGTGACCTCTGAGCCTCAAAAGAAAGTGATCTGTGAACAAAAGCTATTTGTGTCTGGAGACTTGGAGAGCATACCAAGTCTTTTTTCAATAAGTGCAGAATGAAGAACCTGGAGAACACACGAGTTTCAAAGATGCATATATTAATTTTCTGTTTTGGGGAAATAATCAGTTTTTGTCGGGGATTAGCATAACAATTCACAATTTTTACTGGAAATATTGTGCAATATTCTGCTTTTGTTGTTTGTTACCTTTAGTGTATTCTCATTGAATTGCCTGTGAGTCTGGCTTGGAGTGATTTATGAAGACAATTATTTTAAAAAACAATGTGTTATTACTGGACTCAGTTTAAACTTCTTTTCTGTAGTGTAGGCAGGGCTATAAATAGAATAAAGATTAACTCTGTTTCACCCATCAGCCACTGAAAGTAACATGTTTTAAATTACATGACTGCCACACTGCTTTGTACTACATTTTTTGGTGGGTTTAGGGATTCAGCATTTCTGTTTTCTTAACAGTTGTCATTGTAAATACCCTTTTTAACTGAAAAAAATTATTGACCCTTAGCAATGCTGACAAAAATATGATTCTCTTATGTGTCATCTTACACAGAATTATTGTATTTTTTTAGCATTCTAGACTGTGGTACCTTAAAATTAAGATTCCTCTGAATTAAATGTTCTATGTATTTCAAAATTTGATGGATAAACTCTCCACCAAGCCATGTTTTTTAAATGCCTGTGGTCCCAATTTCATTACATGCTTCTTCTCTGATGAGAACTGATCTCGGAATGTTTTTTCTCCCAGTCCACATAATAGTTGTGATGCTCTTTCATTTATCAGTGTACTGAAATGATTTCTAAAAAAATACTTGTTTGTACTGACCTATTTCCATACATAATAAATATTAACATCAAGCAGTAGTTTAAAAGTTTGGGGACTAATGTAAATATGGCAAATATTTTAAAAATGTTCCACCTATGTTGAAGTGATTAGTACTGTTATTAAATTATGGACTGTGAAAAGTGAAGATATAGGTCATACTTTAAGCTACTATAAATTGGTTTTTCTTCAGTGTATCTATTCTTGTAAGCATTTTCCAATTATCTGTCTTACTGAACTTGCCCATTATGGAGGAAGACATTATATAATCTACTACTACTACAGAAGAGAAGTTCTTGTGGATGATAAAATAAATTTCTTGTGTGGGAAGTTGGCCACTCTATCTCCACATACTTTTGAAGCCTGTGGTGATATACAGTCAGATAGGTAATAAATTTCAGCACTAAACGTATTAAATGATAACATGTTTTTCACTGCAGGTGAAGTGTGATCAATACTGGCCAAGCAGAGGCACAGAAACATATGGATTAATTCAAGTGACCCTTTTAGATACTGTTGAATTGGCAACATACTGTGTTCGTACATTTGCACTTCACAAGGTATATATACTTATATATACTTACTATATACTTTTAAATTGAAAGGCTGGCAATTTTTTCCCTCATGTCTCATTCCTTCCTTTCTATCACCAGCCTCCCTCTTGTCACCTTGTCCTCCTTCTTCCTTTTGCTTCCTGCCTTATCTATGTGGCTTTTCCCCTTACTTCCTTATTCTCTTTCTCCACTTCCCCTCCTTTCTAGCCTTCTCCTTGTTTCCTTCTAACAGTGCTGAATGTTGAGACTTCTGCAGAGTACATGTTCCTGATAACATGAAGTTTTGTAAGTTAATACAGAGTCTCACCATTAAAAACCTGAATACTAAGTCTATGGCACTTGTGGTGCACAAGTATCCAGCACAGTTAAAAGATCTTACATTGTTTGAAGCTGTAATTTGGATTTTCCTCCATAGCCAGAGTTCTTTTTCTTGCTGGCCCCAAATATTTAAACAATTTTCACTGGTATATATGCTTTTGCAGTTGTTTCACTAAAAAGTGCTGATATCATCTCAAGTATCAGTTTTGTCATGAAACTTTTAAATTTCATAGAACGGCTCAAGTGAGAAAAGGGAAGTGAGGCAATTCCAGTTCACTGCCTGGCCTGACCATGGTGTCCCAGAACACCCAACACCATTCTTAGCTTTTCTGCGACGAGTCAAGACTTGCAACCCACCTGATGCTGGACCTATGGTTGTGCATTGCAGGTAAGCCCAGAAGTTTCTTCAAAGCATGGTATATCAAGGTTATTGCTTTCTGTTTTATTGCAGATGAAAGTATGATTTTATTTCAAATAGACTTCTGAGTCTGTCAAAGAAGAAGGTGGTTATATTGCAAATCAAGAACTTGAGTATGGCACTGCCATACAGCTTGGGTAGGCTAGAATTATTTTATTTGGTCTATGCAAAATTAATTTAATTTTAGTACATCAAAAGATCTCCAGAGAGAATGTCTGCAGGGAGAATGCAAATCAGAATGGCATTCAGAATGTGATGTGAAAAAGGAAAAGGATAGTATTGGATTTAAGAGCCTAAGTGTTGAAAAAAAGTGTGGTTTAAGCAATGAGACAGTTTTTGAAATTATTATTACTTATATTGTGTGAGAAAGTAATAAACATGAGAATTAAGACAGATAAAGTCAGGTAAGACCTGAATCTGTATTCAAGGTTGAATCTTCAGTTTAGTGCTTTGAGGAGCTGAAAATGCAATGGATGTACCTGGAGAACAAGGTGGACCCAGTTCTAGAGAAATCAATGCACCATGCTTTTTTGCAAAGTAGCATACTTCTTCTGACATTATAAGGTATGAATTAATAAAACTGGAAGAAAAAAAGTCAGCTGCTTTTTGTGTGTTGGGACTAAGGAAAACAAAGAGGAAGAGATATGGCTTCTTTGGAATTTGCTGAACAGATCTTTGAGAAAGCTTTATAATCATGTTGATAAGGACATTATCAGAACAATGTACCAATTCTGATGGAAATAAACTCCAAGATGTGTTTCCTCATTCCACGGCTATATTTTCATATGTTGTATAGCTTGCATGTAGCCCTTTTCAAAGCAAGTTCCTAAAATCAATTTTTCTTCTGAACTTAATTTTGGAATACCTTCAATTAGTAAAGCTGAGAGTTATTACAAATGAATCTCTGATGTTACAAATACTTAGCATATTTGAAAATTGTCTTGCTTTTTTTTCATCCAAAACCTGAGGAATAGTAATTACAACATACCACCATGTCTAGTTCTGACTTCTTAACATATTGATAACCCAGACGTGGAATCTGATGATTTAAACACTTTTAAAATCATTGAAAGAGTGTCCTGTAAACAAGATGGAAAAATAAATTCAACAAGAAAACAAAATAAGCAGAACTTAAATGTTGAAAGACACAGACTGTTTACAAAATACCATAAAACATGGAAGAGAGATTATGTTTATCGAAACACCAGGATTAAAAAATGTCAAATAATTACGAATAACAACACAAATATATTCATAAAGTTTTCTGAGTGTTCCTTGAATGAAGACCCTGCATTCACAGGGTCTTAAAACATTTTATTAATTGTCTAGTATTTTAGATTTCCTCAGATACATCTTTATTTATCTTGATCCATATACAGACTACTTCCAAAGCTGCTCAACAGTGAAGATGCTATTCTCTACATCAAAACCAAAATGAATAGAAGAAATTAGTCTTGCCACTCTGGAAAATCTCTTAATATAATAGCCTAAATTACCACAATGCAAAAATAGACAGATTAAATGAGTTTTTATGGCTAGTCATTGGAAAAGATGAAATAAAATGCATTGTTTGTTATCACTCAGTCGTACTGATTAAGTACAAGGAAATTATTTTCTCTTTGTCACTAGTTTTGCATGCAGATTTCATTGAAAGTGGTGGTCAATTTAGGTAGTATGATTTTATTCCAGATTCCTATTAATGTATTTATCAATAATTTATCTGCAATAAGCATAACCTGCTATATATAAGCTTCTTGCCTTATGTATAGTTACTTAAGACATTAAGATTTCATTCACTTCATACAACCTCACCTCTAAAAAACAGACTTTCATATATCCTATTATTTTAGTAAGGATTTTAAATTTGACTCCTAACAATTTGTCTATGAGCAGAATTAATGTAACCAGGTTTCTGAAAAATTTAAAAATTTATATCTCTTTAATAAAACAGGCTGGACATGTAGCATCAAGTATTCTGAACAGTCCAAAGTTTATTAATATACTAATTAACTCCTCAGTGTAATGTGTTTACTATCCCACTGATAGACTAACAAGAAGTTACTAAAGTGTTTATCACAATAGTAATGTAAATGTGAGTGTCACTTTTCAGGCATACTGTAGGAACATTATATTCAGAAATATATATTTAAATTCAACATTATTTTCTTGGAGCTGTCTTGTGCAGGGACAGGAGTCAGACTTCAATGATCTTTGTGGATCCCTTCCAACTCAGGTTATTCTGTGATTCTATGGTTATTAAATTGGTTTAAAAAATCAAAAGAGGAACAACTATAGAGCATCACCACAGTATTTTTAGGATAAAGGATATGTCTTTCATACAGCAATATAAAAATTCTTCCCATTTGGGGAAATTTCAAGCTCATAAAAAATAATTTAAAACAGCTAAGTACAAACCCTGTACATTACTTGGTTTTTAATTAGAATCTGCTTTCTATTTTTTTCCTTCTCTTCTCTGTTGCTCACTTCATAAGTTTCTCCATTCCAAACTTTCCTTTGCCTATTATAAGCAATTTAACACTTTTATCAATTTTTTTCTCTCCACATCTGGACTGATCCTTATTCTGTGGACCCCTCTTAAGTATATTCCAGCTGTGTCCTTCAATTCCATTGTTTTCTCAAACTTACTTTATTGTTGATATCACACTGCTGAACCATTTAATGAAATATGTTCCTACCTTTCTTAGTATTTCTTCTGAAATAAGATTGTAATTCTAATAGTAATTGTTATTCTAGTTTTTGGCAAGCATCTCCTTTTACTTCCCTCTACTAGTTGCTGGTTTTCACTGAGATAGTTTTCTGTTCTTGACAAACTTCTTGTTTTTTGTTTGTTCCTTTCCTGGCCCATAGTCTGACTCTGCATCCTTTTTAATATTCCTCTTCTCCTTGTTCTGTATCTTGTCTGTCATTGTCTCCCATTTTGTGTTCAGGACTACCTAAATCCCTTTTCATTAAATTCCCTCTTTTCATCATCCTGATTTAAAAAGTACTTAAGACTTTTCTAACTAGAGCCTAACAATATAATACAAAACCATATCTTATATCCTTTGCCTATATTAGACAGTCTTTTCAACAATATCTCATTGAAGGAGTAATCTGAGTTTTTAAGCCATCTGAGACATCACTAATACCTTATTTTATATTTCTTCCAGTACCTACCAAACTATCAGAGCTCAAGAAATTCTAATAATCACATTACAGAAGTATAAACAGAATGGGAGTTGCCTTTCAAAATGTGTTTGATGAAAAGAAAGAGTAGGCTTGAAGAACCTGTAGAAGCCTTTTTCTGCAAGCTTTTAAAACATAGAAACTGAAAAACAAAGCTACCAACTGTACAGGGAGAATTTATTTCTCACCCTGTGTGGGTGAAGAACACCAGAATGCAAGGAACACCTGTCTGTGTTTTAATCCTTATAGAGTAACCCCTGTTTTATTCTGAATATATAGGTTTATATTGCAAGTGAAAGATTTAGCCCAAGCTTTTCCTTACAGCGTTTTTACCCATCTGCCTTTATAATGACTAGCAGTTGCATTTCAGTCTATTTCATGTTGAGGAATTAAATGTTTTTTCTAGTTTGCTCCATGGTTTTGGGGTACAACTAAATGTCCAATGGAAAATCAAAGTAGATGGAGACCCAGTTCACAAGTGACCCCAGACAAGTTTGTATCAAAGCTTCATTTGTTGGTAAGCTATTTTAATATCCTGTTCTAGGAACTGGTTTTTGAATGTGTGAAGAATTTATTTAATAATTACAACGGAAAGAAGTCTGAGCTGAAAACACCTTACTTCTGAAGAGCCCACCCTGTAGATACTTGAATACCCCATATTCACATAAGAGTGACAAAAAAAGTATAGTTCTATTGAGTGAAATTAACTGAGAATGTACATACTACCATTCTATATTACTAAACTTGATGATTTCTGATAAACGTATGTCAAAGATATGCAAATGGAAATCTTTTTAATAATATTGGTGCGATAATAGCAAAGAAATACAGAATTACATGATCACAATTTCCAAAACATTGGTAATTATTAATGACTAATGTATATACAATAGGCATCTTTGTCATTTAGAAATCTACTTTTGATAACAGTTTGAATGCCTGTACAGTATTGAATTTGAATCCAATACAGAAGTCAAAACATGTTGAGAATTCCATAAGGACATTCTACCAGTCAAAGCTTTTACTTGTTGTTGTGGTTTAACCTCAGCCAGCAGCCAAGCCCCACACAACTGCTTGATAATTCCCATACAGTGGGATTTGGAAGTGAATCAGAACAGTAAAAGCTGGAAAACTCATAGGTTGAGATAAAAGCAGTTTAGTAGGGAAAGCAAAAGCTGCACACACAAGCAAAGCAAAACAAGGAATTCAGTCATTTACTCAGTGCTTCCAGTGATCAGGCAGGTGTTCAGCCATTTCCATGAGAGCAGGGCTGCATCACACATAATGATAACTTGGGAAGACAAATACCATCATTCCAAAAGTCTCCCCTTTCCTTCCTTTTCCCCCCCTCTTTCTATTTTAAGCATGATTCCATATGGTCTGGAATATCCCTTTCGGTCAGTTTGAGTCACCTGTGTCTCCTCCCAACCTTCCATGCACCCCTACCTTCCTTGAGCTGCACCACACACTGAAACTGAGGCAAGAAGTCTGTGAAGAAAATCCCAGCCAAAACCAGCACACTTGTGCAGAAAAGTTGGAAGGATTTTTAGTGGAAAAGGTATTTAAAATATATTCACAGGTATGTTAATTTTAATGGGAAAAAAAATAGATCCTTTCTGAAAGAATTATGTAGCACCAAGGGAAACATCAAGGCCTAATCAAAATGCAGATTTTTTAATTTGAGTAATCAGATATTTTGTAAGGACTACTTCCATGAATTGTGTAGTTGTCTTAACATAAATGCATAATTCCACTATACTCTTTTCCCAAGAAAAAAGATAAAG